GTGAGCGCTGCAACTGCAGGTTCCACTGGTGTTGCTACGTGCTGTGTGAGGAGTGTCGTCTCACAGAGTGGGTCAATGTGTGCAAGTAGATTGAGGTTCTCCCAGTCCCAGCTGCCTTTACTCATCCAGGACTCAAGATGGCGAGCCTGTCCCTTCGCCCACTCCTGTTGTTCGAGCGTTTGTTTTGCTCCTTGTGTAACTCTTACAGAGAATCTGTTTATCCCCCCCTTCCTTTTTTTGGTCCATCATCTGGGATCTATTTTCTCTTTGTAGCCGCTGTTATTCTCAAAATGCCAAGTCAGAGATTGAAGAGGTGACTCATGTCGTTTGTCTTGCCATGGCCTGTTTAGACGCTGCCCTCTCAGCCATGAAAACGGCCTATACCCCATCTTTTCTGTCCCACAAAACAAAGACGAGCAACAGCAGAGAAGCCTTTCTATTTCTATTTGTCTACATGCTGACTCATCTCATTGTACAGTAGCTGTGTATTTTAATGTGTACGTGTATATTTGTAAATGTGTTGTTGTTATTAATATTATTATTGTGTCGGAGCCTGTCTTTTTGGTTTGAGTTAATGACAGACTTGTGCTGACCGAGTAGCTCAGGATGGTGAAGCAGTGCTGTCTGAAGTCTCATCACAATTGTTCTCACACTTTAATCTTCTAATGATCTCCAAGATATTTACTCCATTTGTATATTTTGCACCTGTGACTCAGACAGAGCAACAATACTTATTTGGGAGTCTTTGTAGACAAGACAAGTTTGACTAATAGAAGAAGACCGTGATTGGTTTTCGAAGGGCTGATACATCTGATTGAAACCTTTATATTATAGAGGCAACAGGACAGAAGTTTACAAATAAGCACATAAGCTTATCAAACATTGTATACTTTTAAACCTCAAGAAAGGACAAGTTGATACAACATCGGTTTTGGAGACAAATTCAGTCCTTCGGTTCCTTACGCTGAACAACTAATCATTCTAATTTATTTACACCATTGTAACAATAATAATTACGTCATGAGAGTGGTCGCTAGTGGTCATGTTTGTCATAAATTCATATCAATATTGTGAAATATGCTGCGTCTTGATATAACTGTGATGTGATGTGTGTCACTTTCCTATGAAATCATGACTTAGCTCTTGTTATTCTCTGCCTGCGTTTGTCCATTTCATCAGCCTGCCTGAGCACTCCTTAGATTCTTCCCACATGTAGCACATGTCAAAGTGAGAGATGGTCCTGCTTTAGTCTTGAACTGATGCTGAAGGGTGTGCGTATGTTTGAGTGTGTGTGTGTATGTTGCTGTGTAAATGGGGGGCAAGTTCTACGCACTACAGATTTGGGAGGTGAGAGCCTTTTTTATGGCCACTTCATGCTGAGAGAAGGACTTTTTATGGCTGCAGGATATTGTTTCCTTCAAGTATGAGTTTTATTACTGGAGAGAAGCATCAAGAGAGCAGAGAGCGGGGGACGATTATACCAGTCTTTGCTGTGTGAGCATCTGAGGGGATCATCTGTCCAGAGTTCATAGCCAAAGGAGGGACTCGCTGAACCACGTGGAACGCAGTGTTACTGTTACCTGGGAGACAGACGACACAAACATAAACACAGGCACATAAACACATGCGTGCGTTTATGTACAAAGACGCTTAAATGTAGAAATCCTGGCACTGATGCACAATCAGAAACATGCATGCTGGTGCGCACATATGAACTGTCAGACAGCACTCCTGGTGACCTGAGTGATTTGCACTCTCATTCTCTTTACGCTGCAGATTTGGCTAAACGCTAATGTCAACACCTGCCTGGATTTACGATAGCAGCGTTCATAGATATCTCCGATGATCCAAACCGTCTCCGTGCTAAGTCTGCTGGGAAAACCTCCTATAGGATTGAATGCCAATTAAGTCTTGTTTGTATGGACTTCAGTAAATATCCCTTGACTCCTGAGGAATGGCAGTGCCAGTGGCTGCATCGACTGTTCTTGTCTGTTTGGTATTTAGTGAGGGAATAAAAGGGAGACAGCGACTGGTAGGGAATGATAAGGGAATGGATTTCTGGTTTGCATTTCTTCATTCCTTTATCATTTCACCCTGGAGCTGCTGCAAAAGGGAATTTCCTGTCACTGTTCCTCCCATGTGTGAGACAGAGGTTGGTGGACAGCCTGGGATTGCTTTCTCTCCCTCTCTTTTTCTCTCTTTCCCATTCTCCCCCTCATCGCTGCAGACATAGACACATGCATAGCAACACATTGACTGCCCCCCGAGTAATAACAACCAGACTGGGCTGAAATTAAAGAGAGGGAGGCAGAGAGAGGAAGTTAGGAGAGATAAAAGTTACCCACTTTGATTGACAGGATGATTATATGTATAAAGTAAGGCGATTTAGTGTGTTTAGTTGGATATAAAGATAGGGAGATAGAGCCTTGCTGTACGTACAGCGGAGATGCAGAAGCAAAGGACAAATGGGGTATGGAGAAGGGGGTGAATAAAGTGTACTCTGTATAAATACATGCCTCAAAACATCTGCTTCTCAACTCCCCTTTCATTTTTGATGTGGGACAGGCAGAGAAGGAGAGCGGGAGAGAAAACACAAGGAGCCAGCTACCCAGAACATCAAAGCCCCTGCCCTCAACGCGCAGGCCCTCATTAGTTCAGCTAGCAGAACCAACGAGACTTGTGATTGTGTTTGCTGGGGTGCACGCTGGCAGACACTTCAGAGGAAAGACTCCTTTAAGTCATAACTCCCCACCCCACCTCTCCTGCCACCACCCAAGCCCGCTGTAACCCCCCTGTAACCCTCTCCAAACTCCGCGTGCACACAAACTCGGCCGGCTCCCCCACCAACCACTCCACCCCATAATCTGGTCTGCAGCTGCAAACATCTGCTCCCCTCTTTATTCCTCTGCCTTCACCGCTGAATTGATAAACACATCTATCACCGGACCACTGAGTGACACACAACAGAGAGGAAGAGGGAGGCAAATGTTGGATTCACCTGTGGCTGTGGGGCGGGTTTTGGGCATGTCATGTAATCACTCTGGGGGCTGTTTTCTTTTATGGTTAAAGGGTTAAACCCACACATAGGAGTTCCTTCCTAATTCTTATATGTATTGTCACTTGTAAAACCACATAAATGAAATATACCTTAACATACGTAATGTTAGTAACCTGCTATAATATTGATTAAGCCTATGTTTTCTTTTCCTCCTGTCACCTCATTATTTGTGACACACAGAGGGCTGCTGCCAGGAAGTATCACTTGGCATCCTATTACACTCAGCCATTTACTTATTCATTAAGATGATTCCTGTTTTAATTATTTAAGCATGTTTGCCTGCAGACTATCTGCTACATTTCATATTGGTTTTGTTGTTGGTGTCCTGCTGCAACGGCCACATAAATAACATTTAAACACATGCAATGTCTATTTGTCACAAGGGGTATTGTGTGTGAGTCTTGAAAGCTGGACGCTGTATTTGATCTCTCAAAAGCAGGTTAAGGCCCTAAGATGGGTGATGCTCATGTTACATAGTTATTTTTCATGTTTGAAGAGACAAATTACAGTTGCCCTCCGGCACTGCTCCTGGCTTTTAACAAGTCATCGATGACAAACGTGAGAGGTGTTCTTGAGAAATCCAACTATCGCGAGAACACGCCGTATCACAACCGTCTCCCATCGCGAGACTATCATCCAGTCCTCTGCCTGACTCCAGCTGGTAGCCTGCCTGCCGTTGACGGGTAAGTGTGAATGAGATGCAAATGGTGAAAAACGCTCAAAGATTTATACAAGTAACAATAAAGGCGACCGCAGCGTATTTGTCGCCGTGTGTAACGCCTGGCGACGCTTAACGGTAAACGTTAACGGCCGTTAATCGACGACACCAGGCCGACTCGTGCGCTTGTCGTGACTGTACGAGGGGATTACAGCACACACATTGACCCGGAGAAATATATATATATATATATTTATATATATTTTTCAATCCTGAAGACATTAGCTAATATTGTTGCTAGCTAACTACGCTCGAATAACTATCGCTTCACGTTATAAATACGTAATAATGGCTCATTTAAATTCATCGCCCGCTTGGACTGCAGCATCAGCCGTCGTCCCCCTCGCGTTATGACAGATGTACATGGATGTGCGGCCACTGCAGCTGTAACAGGCGATGCTAGCAGCTAATAGCCTGTGCATTTTGATTATAACATGAACGGATACGTAGCTGAGCAGTGTCACTTACAACCCCGGAGATGGTCGATCATATAAAATAAAGGCTTTCAAAGGATGGAGAGAAAAAAAAAAGGGAGGAGAGGGATGCTCCAACAGCCGCACAGTGGGGTTTTTTTTTTTTTTTATAGCTCATTTTAGAAATATCCCTGTGTACACCACATGCACTTCAGGTTGAATGTGTTAGCACAAGTTGACAGCAGAGTTGGCCTGTTACAGGAGCCATAAGAAGAAGACGATTACAGGAAAGTAAGAGTCAAAGCCTCTCACCTTAATGCTACAGCCTGTGTGCACATACACTCTCACAGCCATTAGGTAATGTGCCATGTGATGTAATATGAATTGATTGTTACACTGGCATTTATTTAATTGCCAGCAAAACAGCATAAAAGGGGGTTAGCTCTGCACCACACGAAAGCTGATCCACATAACAGAGATCCAGCCTGGCAGCCGGTTTGCTCAGGGAGCCGTCAGAGAGTAAAGCAACAGCCTTTAAGTCAGGTCAGCCGCCTGCAGAGGTGTGAAGTAGGCTTTTACTGGCTTTCCTCTGAGGCGGCTTCAAGCCCTAACGAGGTGCTAATGTTAGGAGATGCTTTTGAAGAGCTACTGCGTCTCACCCCGTGATTTTTTTGTGTGTGTGTGGTTGTGACTTACTATATGTGGATCATGGTTTGTTTTGGCTGCTTTGTTGCTATGTAGAGAGAAAGCAGTCTCCTCAGTACCCTGTGTAACAGTTCTGTTGCAGTTGAGGTGAGAGCCGCCAGACATCATGGGAAACATCTTTGGCAACCTGTTGAAGAGCCTGATAGGCAAGAAGGAGATGAGGATTCTCATGGTGGGGCTGGACGCTGCTGGAAAAACCACCATCCTCTACAAGCTGAAGCTGGGAGAGATCGTTACCACCATCCCCACGATCGGTGTGTGAGGAAAGAATTGATCCAATGCCTGACGCTATAGGTTAAACAACTTCACACTGAGTTTGTCCAGCTTGAGTGTAACTCATTTGGATTTGCTTTTTATTCAGGTTTCAATGTTGAGACAGTGGAGTACAAGAACATCAGCTTTACCGTGTGGGACGTGGGCGGCCAGGACAAGATCCGTCCCCTGTGGAGGCACTACTTCCAGAACACCCAGGGTAAGCCAGGCCAGCAGACTCTTAGATGATACACAAGTCAGCTATGTTGGAGTTAACTCAGTCCTGTGGCAGATCCTGAAACCACATGCTCGCCCCCGGCACCTGAGGGCATATCTGACTAATGCTTTAGATGAGGTCATTTGCATACAGCCTCCAACTGTTTCGAATTATTATCCCCTTAGTCATGTTGAAAGCCTCGACAATGAATAAACGTGGTTTAGCAATATGATTTTTTTTAACAGTATGATGTCAGAATATTGTTAAAAACTGGAATGAAATAGATTCTGGCGTCCTACAGCTGATGGTTTTGTTTTGTTCCTTCCTTAAATAATACAAGCTGTCATCTCTCCCTGCAGGTTTGATCTTTGTGGTGGATAGCAATGATCGCGAGCGGGTGAACGAAGCTCGGGAGGAGCTGATGAGGATGCTGGCTGAAGACGAGCTGCGGGATGCTGTTCTTCTCGTCTTTGCCAACAAACAGGTATGGTCTTCCTTGTGTCTCCTCCTTTGTATTCCCTTCTTTCTGCACTTTTGCATCCATTTCCAAACCAACTGAGGCCTCTTAATTGACACACCTGATGTGCTTGTTGTCCAGGACCTGCCCAATGCCATGAACGCTGCCGAGATCACAGACAAGCTGGGCCTGCACTCCCTACGCCACCGCAACTGGTACATTCAGGCCACCTGTGCCACCAGTGGAGACGGGCTCTACGAGGGTCTGGACTGGCTGGCCAATCAGCTGAAGAACAAAAAGTGAATGGTCCAGTCAGTAGAGTGGGGAAGAGCCTGGGTGCCAGCTCCAGGTAATGGTTATAGTGGATCCATTGTGTTTACATGGAGAGGCAGTGCTGAAAAGCTCCCAGGGGGTGACTCTCAATGGCTTTCTCCCCCCCCCCAAATATTTTCATTTCATCTCTTTATTTCGATTAATTTTATTTTGTTTGGATCTGCGGTGAGCGTTTTTAGATATTTACAACCAATGGTGTCGAAGTTGACATAAATTACTTACATTCTTACAAGCTGAATACATAAATATTGGGATGTAATCGTATAATGTTACAGTGAAGGCATATGTATTTCCCCCTACTTTGCAGTCTCTATGACCATGAACTCCATCAACTTTTAATTTGTCCATATAAAGTGATGATTTTAGACTGATGGTGGCTGAACAACCCTCCCTCAGATATTTTAAACTTAATGTAAATTATAAAGAATGTCATAGTATAGTGGGAGTACTACTACTATCTCAGAAATCTATCATATTGTTTAAAAACAGTATACAAGCTCAGATAAATGTAAAGTTGTCATTTTCTGTCCATACAAATGTTTTACCACAACAAAATTATGCGCTTCAGAGCTCAATTTGTATATTTTTTTTAAAACTTAAGTTATTTTAGATTTTATTTAAATGTATTTATTTAGATTTTATTTATTTTATGAAACACAAAACCTGGTGACATACTGGATACTCTTAAAACAATTCATATATTTTTGTCAACATTTATTTATTTATTTGAAAGTTTGTTTATTGGTTTTATTTTTAAGTACATCACATGGTTTCTCTCCCTTTATTGCAACGTGCATTTACTGCTAAGGCAGCTGTTGAAAACAGAAGCCCCGGTATCACTGTATATTACCGCTTCCCAATCTGCATGGAGATATCCCAGTACTGGCTCGTGGGCTTATAAGAGCTGTGAACTACTGCAGGCCGCTGCTGTAAATAAAGATTTGTTCGTCGGTCGACTTGCCTGGCTCAATAAGGGTTAAAACAATTTGTCTGGCGTCAGCGAGGTGTGATAGCTGAACTGATACAGATGACAGAACAGACACACTGTACCAGCTTTGTGGCTTAGAAAAAAAAATGCTGCTATTGGCCCTGTGGAGAGGGATGCAGCAGAGCATGTGATTGGCAATATCGAAGAGCTTACATGGTTTTTGAATGTTTATTTTTTAAGTCAGTTTGTGCGAGCAGCTGCACTATATCCGTCAAAAGAACACACATTTGCTTGTCATCCTAATTTATTCATCCCTAATTGGCTTGACATTACATGTGTTAACCGTGTCTACGTGTACCATGTTGCACAAAATAACTCTAGATGCATTATTGTTGTACAAAATGTAATGTCTGTTTTTTGTTGTATTTTTGAATGGAGTTTGGACCAAAAGGCAAGTGTTGATTTTACTGTTTTTTTTTTTTTTTTTTTTTTTTTCTTAATTTGCTAACTAGATCAAACAGTTGTCTTTTTGAGTGTTCACACAAATCACATAATTTGAAAAAAAAAATAGGAGAGAGGATGATAGTAATACTGCATCATAAGGCATGTTAATACTGTACAAGATCTGTAATAAAAGTGAATTATAATAGCCTGTTTCCTCAGACTATATTTGTTAGTCTAAATTACTGCTGCTGGTTGGAACAATGCTGTACTGATAAATGTTATGGATTTAGTGTAAAGTTTACCGAACAACCTTCTAATATGCAAAAGCATGCTTTTCTATGTCAGCGCAACTGTATATATGTTTATGTAACAAGAAAAGTATACCATGGTACTCTCGGTCAAATTGAAAGTGTTGTTGATACACCTGTAGATATTGGGGTCAGTGTGTTGGCAGATATGTATAACTGACAGCAGCTTGTGTGTGTGATGTGCCCTCTATTACATTAAGTTTGATGTGAAAATTGTTTTTGTGGCCTTATATTGCCAGTGGTTAAGTTCTCTTTGATAAAAGGTTTGTATGTAGGAACGTCCAACATTCAAGTGTCCCACCTATGATCTGTAACACTGATGCACTCACGGTACTGTTGTGGCTAACCATCCTTCTTTCAATCACTATTGGCAGACTTTTGACTTGAAAAATATAGAAAATCAAGACTGCAGTACATTCCAACAATGATAATGTTTATTCAAAAAGAAACAAGCTGAAAATGGATTTGTTTAATTTAGAGGAATATTATCAAGAGGAGGAAATTAAAACAACACAAACTGGTGCAAAAGTGTTGAATGATTTAATGATTCCTGGCACTACATCGATCAATCAATAAAAAGACCAAAACATAAATGTGCTTTGCCTTACTCATTTTTCACCTTGTTATCACACACACACTTTGGTTATGATTTGGTTCCTCAGTGGAGACCTTATAATATTGTGCTTATTCATGTTGCTTTTTGCTACTCTCTTCAAATAATCATTTGTGTCTGATATGGTCACAAAAAGTTAAATCATCTAGTTAAAAATATATTTGAATTACATCCACATCTACTGCATACTGGGCCATAATTGTCTTCCTGGTTGTGATGTCAAAAATGAACTCTTTCCCCCCTTCAGCAGATTAATGTGAAAGCCGCCTTCTAGTGTCAAACTGCACGTAAAAAGCAACAAGGCACATTTGTGAGTTGAGGAAGACTTTAAACTTTGTATTAATTGCCAACAAAGACTAAAGCCAGATGAATTAACAGCACATATTACAAGCTTGATTATTGAACGTGTACTGGTGGACATGGTCAGGGAAAGAGCAGGTCAAATAGGTAGGAAGGACGTGGATCTATGTCGTCTTTCTCTTTTGGCCTTTTCTAACTGCTGCCATCAAGAGAAGTTTGGCACAATCAGGTAGTTTCCCGGTGGAATTACTGAGAGTCATTTTTGTCTGAGCCAATCAGAGGTCCATGTAAAGGAGAGTGCCGCTGTGTCTCCAGGGGTGTGACAGCAGTATGTGGGTCAGAGCTGCTCCCGGGGCCACCAGCCCCCAGGGCCCCCTGCAGGACGGCTACAATAGTAGCCCCAGGGCGGATGCCATAGCTGGGATTCCCACCCGTAACCGGGACGCCTTCACCCAGGGCACAGACACACTGGCAGCAGCCCCACAATCAATTCATCAATCTCTGAAGGGAGTGGCAACTGCAAAAGGCCACAGCAGACACCCCCACAGCTCGCCTTTGGAAGAGACAGGGCCACCAGAGCTGACACTGAGGCATGACACCATGGTGGCGTTGTGAAACTGCCAGACTCTGCAAAAACCATGGATTCATTAGGGCCTTTATTTAAGCCACTTTTCTTGACCTGACAACAGAGAAACCCTCCAGAGAATGTGAAAAATAATCACCCATAATTTATTTGTTTGATGTCACTATAGATTGATTTCCACTGTGATTTTTTTTCACTTTATACTGTGTTACAGAGCAAGAGTGAAAAATTCACACTGTTTATGTGTTTAACTACACAACTGACTCAAGTTGTGAACAATCTTCCAACTTACTGAGTAATGCTGCTCTGTAAAGTTTTCCATCATTCAATAGGCAAGTGGACAAGGTCTCAGCTGATCTTTTTTTTTTTAGAGCAGATTGATATGAGATTGTAGCAAAGCTTATGAGTCAAAGAATAATCATGTAAAAAAAAAAAAACAGTCGTGCAAACACTGGCCGAGAATCCACCTACCACAGTGCCCTGCAGCAGCTCTGATATCAGAGCACCAATCCTCAGACTCTGTCTCCTCCTACTGGACAGAAAGCTCCTGGTAAAGGGCAGTTACGGGTTCAACTTAATATACAGGCTGATGTACATATACTCAACATGTACTTAAACCTTGCTACAATAAAAACAGCATTATTATGTTTTACACAGTTTTTCTCTTTTATGCTTTTAATGACCATATCAAATAGAATAATCACATTTCCAGTCAAAATTGATTATAATGATGATTGAATGGTCACACTATCAGTCAAATTTCATCATAGGGATACTTCCAGACAAACAGCAACTGTTCAGCTATCTGTTTCTCATACAAAATAAGATTAACAGTACATGTGTCAGAAGCAGTTACTGATCTCCATCCATTAGTGAGTCGTACCCCCCTTTTCACTCACAGCTTCATGTTCAGGAATCTTGTCCGCTCAGAGGCCATTTTTCTCAAATTAAGCATGTTCTTGTTTTGGGTTCAGAAGTCACTTGACCATCTGACAATGTGCCCATTGTGACAGGCTGCTCCATACGCATCAAAGAGGTGATTAACCAGTTGACAGGGCTGTGGGGACAATACTGCTCTTTACAGGGAACACAGTGTAGCCACTCACAGCTCTGGGTGCTGACTGGGAGACCACAGCACTGCTTCAACATGCAGCAGCTGACAACATGAAACCAAAATAACTGCACACAAAAGGGACATATAGGGTACATGGTCTTCACACTGGTACACACGCAGGAGCAGAAGCAGTCAACTTGGCATGTTAAAGGTGTCAGTCTGATGATTAATTAATTCAGCATCATCTTTTCTTATGTAAGCTCAATGCGTTTATTGTGAAGCATTTTATTTTATTTATTAAATATTTCACAGAAGTCCTGCAGGGCTTTTTCTACCCATTTGGATGCTCAGTGGAACGATTGTGGCTGCAGCTCGTAAAAAAAAAAATGACGGACCAACCTCTGATTGGTGAATAAATGTGGCTCCTGGCCAATCACACGTGCCTCTCTGGGAGGGAAAACCCAGCGTCAAAATAAACTGCCACTTGTTCGCTGTTTTCACTTTTGCAATTAGCGCGATTTATCTGCTGTAAGTTGTATCACTCCTTCACTTCGACTGCATGATTTCGGATTTTTCTTTTCACTCTCTGTGACTGTGTTTGCAATATATATTTCCTTGATGTTTTTTTGTTTTTTTAATCCATCTATACTCTCCTGGCTTTTTCGGACTACCTAAAACCTGTATAATATGAGATTACCTCACTAAATAGATTCGACATCAACATGATTCAGTGGCGAGTCATATTACTGTGTGTGACATTATCGTGGAGGCTTCAATCAACATCATCCCAAACCCATGAAGGTAGGTGAATTTATATTTCCACATCAACAACCTTGTGTGGCCTGTTTTAACTGCATTCATTATCTTACTGTAGGAGACATTTACCTCGAAATGACTTTTATTTTTAAAATATGTAATGCTTGAATTCACCTGTTGTTCACTCTTCAGTATTTACACAGCTTCCATGGTATGCAACTATATTTTGTGGAATAGAATAGAATAATTAACAGGGATACTATGTAGACTTGTGCCGGGTTAAGAGGACTACATTTTATAAACTATTAACCCTCATCTCTTCTTTCATTTGTCTCAGATCACACAGTATTTACTCTCCTCCTTGAGAGCTTTCTTTTTTTACTGTTATTACTGGGCTCTAATCAAGGCACTTAAACATGACCACTTTATATACTGCTAGTGATGAATGGCAAAGATCCCACTTGTAAAAAGCTCCTGAGTTTTGTTCATGTTGGTATGTGCAATCTGCTGATGATTGCTTTTGTTTAGGTGCATATTGACAATCCCTTATTACTTGTTATTTAGTTGTTTGGATTACATGTGCTTGTTTGTGTCTTTTAATTATAGTCAGAACTATCATGCAACTCTGCTAGATAAGCACTTCTCTTTCGGTGCCTGTGTTTAATTAATAATGGATGTTAGCATAAAGATATGCTACAGTCAACATGTAACTCTCCAATATTTTACATAAGAACAAATGAAACAGACTTCAAAGGTTTATGGAGGTAATCAACTTAATTTTATACGTCTGCATGTTCCCAATGAATACAGGAAACGTGATTTTTGTTGACACCTGCAGGTGCTCAGTCTTTGCACACAAATGGCCAGTGCCACAGTTTTTGTTGGACAGTACGAGATGATGTGTATGTCTCCTTCCGTTCACGATATTTCCCTTCGCCGTGCCAGAATGTCCTACTCACACATGGCCCATTGTCTGCTGGTATGATCTCAGCAACGCAGACCCCTCAGACACACACATACGCACATACACACAGAAGCACTGTCTGTCACTGCATCACTCTTCACTCACTGGGACACACTGTCCACATTTATAGCTTTATCACAATGAGGCACTTTGTCTGAAGAAAAGCCCCGCTCTCCTTGACCCTCAGCCTTCACTCCGTCAGCCCCAGGCCTGGACTGCTCCATGTACCAGGGTTACAGCCTGCCTGTTTTAGTCTGCTTCACATCAAACTTTCCAGCCAACACAGCATCAAAACCATACTACAGACACAATATAACCCATGCACCATTCGTTCACCTTTAAATGACCACACCAGTGTTTTGCACGTTTGAGCTCCTTAGCTACAAGACATTATTTCTTTTTCCAGCCATTTCAAGTGCATGCCATGTTTTTGATTTTATTATCCACCAGCCCAAGCTGCCATTGATTTCCATTCATGTCTGTGTGGTATTAAAATAAATAAGCAGACTCTTGCACAATGCATCACAGTCTGCATCAGTCTTTGTCAAAACCACATTATAGTTGAATTGTAATGCAGTGAATTATGTTGTTTCAAGAGTCTGCTAATTGATCTTAAGGTGCTACAGAACTGAAAAGAAACCAAATACATCCAAGAACAAAAGTGTGATGTAAAGCTGTGATGTAGAGCTGTAGTAAAAAGACTAAACATGCAAAACCACTCCTTAAACATACACATGAGTATAGCAAGTAAAAGTGATACACTGACCCACAATTCCCCTTTGAGTAACTCTTGTGTTCATCAAACTTAGAGTCATACTGTATGTTTCTTTTCTCCCGGTTTATGTCAGTGGTGTGTCCTGGTACGCAGAACGGACTGAGCTCCACAGGTTCTCAGGAGAATCAGTACAACCTCACTAAGGACCGCTATGATGGCTGTGAGATCATCATGGGAAACCTGGAGATCACTCAGATTGAGAGTAACTGGGACTTCTCCTTCCTCAAGGTAAAAATCATCTCTCCTCTGTCCCTCATCTTTCAATTGATTTTTATGTACAAGATGTAGATGTGTACTCCTCTTTTTGCTCCCCAGACAATCCGCGAGGTGACTGGCTATGTCCTCATTGCTATGAACCACTTTCAGGAGATTCCTCTAGGGCAACTACGGGTCATAAGAGGAAACAGCCTTTATGAAAGACGCTTTGCTCTCTCTGTCTTCCTGAACTACCCCAAGGACGGCTCCAACGGCCTGAGGCAGCTGGGGCTCGCAAATCTGACAGGTAAACGGGAATTGTGGGAAAACCGATGTGTGGGCAAGGTATGTCC